AATGAAGAAAGAACCAAGACCCACCTATATGCTGAATTAGAGCCTCACTGCAGACCTAAAGACACAAACAGACTGAAAATGAAGGGATGGAAAAAGATATTCCATACAAAGAGAAGCAATAAAAAAAAAAACAGGTAGAAACACTTATATCAAACAAAACAGGTTTTAAAACAAAGCTCTAATCAGAGACAAATAAAGGCATTACATAAATAAAGGGATCAATCCAACAAGAGGATATAACAATTGCAAATATCCATCCATCCAACACAGGAATTTGATTAAATATATGAAGCAAATATTAACAGACATAAAAGGACAATATGACTATAATATAATAATATACAATAGTAGTGGACTTTAACACTCCAATTACATCAACTGATAGATCATCCAGAAGTTTACAGTGATACAGATCTACCTCAAGAAATGAGAAAACAATCTGACCTTACACCTAAAGGAACAAGGAAATAGAACAAAGCCCAAAGTTAGTAGAAGGAAGGAAGTAAAAAGATAAGAGTGGAAATAAATTGAGACTAAAAAAACAACAATAGAAAAGATCAATGAAACCAAGAGCTGGTTCTTTGAAAGGATGAACAAAATTGATACAACTTTAGCCAGACTCATCAAGAAAGAACTCAAATAATAAAATCAGAAATGAAAGAGCAGAAATAACCAACACCACAGAAACAGAAAGGATTACAAAAGAACACTACAAAAAAATTATATGCAAACTGGACAACCTAAAAGAAGTGGATAAATTCCTAGAAACATACAATCTTCCAAAACTAAATCAGGAAGAAACAAAAAAATTGAACAGACTTATTACTAAGCAGTGAAATTAAATCAGTAACCAAAAACTCCCAACAAACAAAAACGTTCAGGGTCAGATGGCTTCAAAGGTGAATTCTACCAAACACTGAAAGAAGAGGTAATACCTATTCTTCTCAAACTACTTCAAAAAATAAAAGAGGAAGAAAAACTTCTAATGCTGCTAATGCTGGTCATTCTAATAGACCAGCATTAGCCTGCTGCCAAAACCAGATAAAGACACTACAGAAAAGAAAACTGCAGGCAATATCCCTGATAGACAGATGCAAAAATCCTCAACAAAACATTGCCAAACCAAATTCAATAATAAGTGAAAGGATCATTCACCATGATCAAGTGGAATTTATTCTAGGGATGTAAGGATGGTTCAATATTCACATACCAATGTGATACATTACATTAACAAGAAGGATGAAAACCATATGACAATCTCAACAGATGCAGAAAAACTATCTGACAAAATACAATATCCATTCATGATATAAACTCTCAACAAAGTGGGTTGATTTTTTTTTTTAAGATTTTATTTATTTATTCATGAGAGACACAGAGAGAGAGAGGGGCAGAGACACAGGCAGAGGGAGAAGCCAGCTCCGTGCAGAGAGCCTGACACGGGACTAGATCCGGGACTCCAGGATCATGTCCTGGGCTCGAGGCAAGCACTAAATCACTGAGACACCCAGGGATCCCCAACAAAGTGGGTTTAAGGGAAACATACCTCAACATAATAAAGGCCATTTCTGAAACAACTATAACACTCAATAGTGGAAAAGCTTTCAGCTAAGATCAGGAATAAGACAAGAATGTCCACTCTTATTACCACTTTTTTTCAACACAATACTAGAAGTCCTAGCACAGCAATCAGACAAGAAATAAAAGGTATCCAAATTGGTAAGGAGGAAATAAAACTGTTACTATTTACAGATGTCATGATAATATATACAGAAAACCCTAAAAACCATAAAAAACATATTAAAATAAATGAATTAAGTTACAAAATGTAAAATTAATATCCAGAAATCTGTTGTGTTTCTGTACACTAATAGTGAAGTAGAAGAGAAATTAAGAAAACAATCCCATTTACAAATACACAAAAAAAGAAAAAACACCTAGGAATAAATTTAACCAAAGAGGGGAAGATCTGTTCTCTGAAAATTTTAAGACATCAAGGAAAGAAACTGAAGACAATACAAACATATGAAAGGATATGCCATGCTCATGGATGGGAAGAATATTGTTAAAATGCCCAGACTCCCCAAAGCAATTTAAAGATTTATTGCAATCACAATCAAAATAACAACAGTGCTTTTCACAGAACTAGAACACATAGTACTAAAATTTCTATGAAACCACAAAAGACCTCAAATAATCAGAGCAATATTGAAAAAGAAGAACAAAGCTGCAAGCATTACAATCTCAGATTCCAATATATACTACCAATCTATAATAACTGAAAGAACATGGTACTGGTGGAAAAACAGATCAATGGAATAAGAGTGCTTAGGAATAAAGCCATGCTTTTACATTCAACTAATCTGTGAAATAGGAGGCAAGAATATACATACAATGGGGAAAAGACAGTCTCTTCCATAAATGGTGCTGGGAAAATTGGGTAGTTATATGCCAAAGAATAAAACTGGACCACTTTCTCACACCATACATAAAAATAAACTCAAAATGGATTAAAAACCTAAATATGAGACCTGAAACCATAAAAATTCCTAAAAGAAAACAGGCAGTAATCTCTCTGACATCAGCCTTAGCAACATATTTATGGATCCATCTCTTCAGTAAAGGGAAACAGAAGCAAAAATAAACTATTGGAACTAAACCAAAATAAAAGGCTTATGCAGAGTGAAGGAAACCATCAGAAAAATGAAAAGGCAATCCGACTGAATGGAAGATTTTGCAAATGATGTATCTGTAAGGGGTTAATATCCAAAATACATACAGAACTTATACAACGCAGCACCAAAAACACCCAGATAATCTGATTAAAAATGGGTGGAGGACCTGAGAAGACATTCTTCCAAAGAAGACATACAGATGGCCAACAGACGCATGAAAAGATGCTCAACATCACTAACCATCAGGGAAATGCAAATCAAAACCACAATAGGATGTCACCTCACACCAGTGAGTATGACTAATATCAAAAAGATAAGAAATACCAAATGTTGCAAGGAGGTGGAGAAGAGAGAAATCTTGTGCACTCTTGATGGGAATGTAAATTGGTGCAACCACTATGGAAAACAGTATAGAGTTTCCTCAAAAAATTAACAATAGAAATACTATATGATCCAGTATTTAATTCTACTAGATAATTACCCAAGGAAAATGAAAACATCAATTCAAAAAGATATATGCGCCCCTAGATTTATTGCAGCATTATTTATAGTAAGCAATATATTTTTTAAAGATTTTATTTATTTATTCATGAGAGACACACAGAGAGAGAGAGAGAGGCAGAGAGACACGGATACAGGCAGAGGGAGAAGCAGGCTCCATGCACGGAGCTCAACGCGGGATTCAATCCCGGGTCTCCAGGATCACACACTGGGCCGAAGGCAGCGCTAAACCGCTGCGCCATCCGGGATGCCCAGCAATATATTTTTTAAGTTATCTCTATACCCAACATGGAGCTCAAACTTACGACCTCAAGATCAAGAGTTATATGCTCTACTGACTGAAACAGCCAGGCACCCTTTTACACAGCCAATATATTGAAGCAATCCCAAGTGTCTACTGATAGCTGAGATAAAGAAGATGTGTGTATACACACACATAATATTAGCCATAAAAATGTATGGCATCTTGCCATTCATGACAACATGGATGGATCTATCATGCTAAGTAAAAATAAGTCAGGCAGAGAAAGACAAATACTATACAATTTCACTTATATGTGGACTCCAAATGTCAACACAAATGAACAAACAGAAGCAGGCTCATAAATACAACAAACTGGTAGTCGCCAGAGGGAAGGTGGGTGAGGGGAAGGGCAAAATAAGTGAAGGAAATTGAGAGGTACAGACCTCTAGCTATGAAATAAATAAGCCACAGAGATAAAAAGCACAGCGTAGGGCATATAGTCAAAAATATAGTAACATTTTATGGTGATAGAGGATGACTTAGTTGTGGTGGGCACTGAATACACAGAACTGTAGAATTGTTATGTTGTACACTTGAAACTAATAACACTATGTCAACTATCCTAAAATAATAATAACTTAAAATATCTTATAAATAATTTTAACAATCATCATCACCACTTTCAATAACACAAAGCCTTTGTCAGACTGCTAATTGTTCTTTTCAATATCCATTATCCCCTTTTCAATCTCATTTTGAACTGGGCACATGACAACACAGCTTAAGACTACATTTTCCAGCTCCCCCTTGCAGTTAAATTGGTCAAATGACTAACCTGGACAGTGGCATGTGCATTCCTAGGGGTTTTGATACTCTTTCCCTTCCCCTTAAAAGAACTAGAACACTGTCTTGACCCAGAGATCAAATTACCAGCATTGGGGGCACCTGGGTGGCTCAATGGTTGAGTGTCTGCCTTCTGCTTAGGTCATGATCCCAGGTGGGATCGAATCCTGCACTGGGCTCCTCACAGGGAGACTGTTTTCCCTCTGCTATGTCTCTGCCTCTCTTTCTGTGTATCTCACAAATAAATAAATAAAATCTTAAAAAAATAAAATAAATTACCAGTATTGGACACCCACTTCCATTAAGTGAGATGAAAATAAAAAACAAAGAAATGAAAAATGTTTCTATCTTTTCTAAGTCACTGTATTTAGAGTCTCTCAGATACATCCTATTATCCTATATACACTAATATAAATCTCCTGCAAACTCCTGGCTCTTTTGGGTTAACAATCAACTGACCATGAAGTGCTGTTCACATGTGATCAGGCAATTAAGATGAAATTAAGACAAATAACAGGAAGACCAAAGAGTTTGACCAAGTTTTGGGGGTTTGATTCTATATTATTAAAATCTGACATTTAAGGATGATATGAAAAGCAGAATGATACCTATTATGGCAAAATATCCACACCAGTTTCAACGTTTTGAGGATATTTTAGGACTAGAACAGTAACAGCAAAATCTATTTGTTTCTAAAAGTCGATTATAGAAGCCTGAAAAGATGAAATTTAACTTACCTTCAGCTTTTTCAACCATATCGAATTGAAGAGCCTTTGTTCCATCGAAGCAAAATGCCTTGATGGAATTCAGCCCTAACAATAAAGCATTCTGTTTTATTTTTTCCACTTTGTTGGATATTTTATCCAGTGCTATTACTTCTCCCTATAAAATAAACAAATACGCATAAAAATAAAGCATAAATCCAAAGCTGTCATAAAAACTATTATTGAGGAAAACTGATGAAAAATTATGGTTGTCCCTACTTTCCTCCCAACCCCAGTTTTTTTTTTTTTTTTTTTTTGTTGGGACTATGAGGTAGTAAAACTTTATTCAAACTCATTACAAAGCTCTAAAATAAAAGGCATTCTACTTTAACATTTATTGAGTCGACTTTTTTTGGTGTGTGCGTAGGGGTAGGGGGTAGTGCCAAGGTCTCCTTAGGCAACAAAATAAACAAACAAAACTCAGTTTCCCCTTCTTATGTTGAGTCTAAAGCAGCCAGGACAAAACGATGCCGGGACCACTGTGCTCAGTGCTGCTGTGGAACCCACGTGGCAGGGTCTAGAGGAAGCTCTGAGATGATCCAGTGCAGCCACTCGCTGTCTCCATGAAGAGTAAAAAGAAGGAGCCTGGAGACAGGAGGTATCCCAGTACTTCCCCTGGGGGGATGGAGAGTGGAGAGGATACTCCAGCATCGACTTGACTCTCAATCCACCTCCCCAGGGCACCCACCTAGGCCAGCCAGCTTCAGACCATAGAGAATAGAACCGACTCCACGTGCCCACATTTGGTGGGAGGGTAGCCTGCACTGGGCCAGGTGGAGGGTCATGGAAATGAAAGGACGTGCTTTCTGCTTCTCTTGGCGCATAGCTCTGTCCTGAGACTGCCTTTCTTGGACCCTGTGGCCTGGTAACATCCATACAGGCAGCTCCTCTGAGGGGGATTCTCACCACTGGGTCCCCTCCACACCCTGCTCATGTCTGAGCTCACCTGGCCCCTCGCCCCGCTCCCTGGTATTGGTCAATCTCCCACTGCAGCACCCACTGGCCCCCAGCAGAGGCGGGCCTTCTTGCTCTCTGCTCTCCCAGCACTGCTGGCACCTGGGGGGTTCTGGACAAGCCATTGGTGCTTTGTCAAGTATTTACAGGAAGGTTGTTCCTGCCAACCCCAGTTTTAAAGCTGAATTCATTAACCAAATGTGTATCACATTTACATTAAAATATTTAAGTCTCATCCTTCAAAAAAAAAAAATTCTTAGAGACAAACTAAGAGACAGACTCCTAACTATATAGAGAACAAACTGATGGTTACCAGAGGGGAGATGGACAGAGAGGATAAGTGAAGGTGATGGGGATTAAGGAGGGCACCTGTGCTGAGCACCCAGCGTTGTATGGAAGTGTTGAATCACTATATTGTACACCTGAGACTAATATTACACTGGATGTTAACTGAAATTTAAATAAAAACTTTAAAAATAATAAATACGAAACAGAAAAGCACATTCTTGACAGGTAAATTTTCTTATACTGCATAGCTATTTTTACTTAACAAAACTCAAAACCATAAACAGTGTTTGCCATCTAAGAAACTTGAAAATATCTACTGGAGATAAATAAAAATTACCAATCCGATGTACTTTGTTCATATCTGGAAGAATATGAACTAATGTTCTGAGACATCTGCCTTCTAGTGCTTTGGGATACAGATGAATGTTCCTTGCAAAATCAATCCTCATCTCAATATTTTCTGAGTTATATGTAAATAAAATTCATGTCAATTCTGACAACTATAACATAAAAACATTGACCTGTATATTGCAGCAAAATGCTCTGGACTGGCTATAACAAGTAGTTCAAAAATAATTTTATAACAGGGGACATCTGGGTAGCTTAGTCAGTTAAGCATCTGCCTTCAGCTCAGGTCATGGAATCAAGCCCTGAGTCTGGCTCCCTGCTCAGCAGATAATTTGCTTCTCCCTTCCTCTTTCCCTCTGCCTCTCCCACTGCTTGTGCTCACACTTTCTCTCTCAAATAAATAAATAAAAGTTTTTTAAAAAATAGTAATTTTATGTGGCAACACTTTCGTTAAGTCAAAGTCAACAAAGATGAGGCCAAACTTTCACGAATGCATTGTGATATTCATTTCATTTTTTAAATATACTATGAAATGATATTGCAGAGATGGCAAGATTAACTCTTCAGTGTCTTTTCTTGCTTTTGTTCCTTTTAATACACCATCCTTTTATGACATATGCATCACTTGCATAGATTATGACACTGCTACATTTTCTGTGGTCATTTTTACATAGTACTATAAAACCAAACAACAGAACATGGACACACTTAAAGTATCCAGACTCTCTTTGGTGAGACTTCTTACTAGAGACAATAAAATATCTGTAGATAAATACTTCTAAGCAAACACAGTATCATATATCAAAAATTAAGGGGAGATTATTATTACTTTTTCAAAACATATAATCTTTACAATCAAGATTTCAGGTAAACTGAAAATTGATTTGCATTAAACATCACAACTCTATAAAATGAATTCTATTTTGTGTTCTGTATTTTATGCACTGGTGGTATTTACTCCATTTTTCCTTAAAGTTTTTACTGTTACCTTAAATACCTTTGGGATAAAAAAAAAAAAGAATATAAGTAAACAAGCAAGTGTATCTCTGCTAATGAACCAAGAGTATCAATTCCCCAATATTTTAACAACAAATATATTTTCCTTTCTTCATTACTTTAATAGGCCACTTACTGAAGTTATACTACTGGTACCACAAGTATGTATCTGTGTGTACAGGGCACATACAGACTGCATGTACCCATAAATACACATAGAACAAATATAGAGTACCTATATACAGTATGTATAGATATACATACAGTGCAGAGATAAGGTTTTAACCCTTCAATAAATTTACTGAAAATATAAAAATTTATTTATATATGTGTATATATGTATATTATATGTATATATGTATATTATATATATGTATGCATATATATATTATATTCGTATATATATATGTAGCATATTCATTATCGCCCTGCTTATGACATAGTGAATGTTTCAGAAATTATAACATTATCAAACACTAATATGCAAGTAATGTCAATTTTCATCAGAAGTCTTTGGATAAAGTGATTTGCACTAATGAAAGTGCAATTTCATCCTGACACAATAAATGTTCCTGGGATCCCTGGGTGGCGCAGCGGGGGATCCCTGGGTGGCGCAGCGGTTTGGCGCCTGCCTTTGGCCCAGGGCGCGATCCTGGAGACTCGGGATCGAATCCCACGTCAGGCTCCCGGCGCATGGAGCCTGCTTCTCCCTCTGCCTATGTCTCTGCCTCTCTCTCTCTGTGACTATCATAAATAAATAAAAATTAAAAAAAAAAAAAAAGAAAATAAACCCTTTCCCCAAAAATATTTAAAAAAAAAAATAAAAAAAAAATAAATGTTCCTATTATTTTCTGTGCAAGATTGCTTGTAAATCACTTGACTATCCTAAAAAATATCAAATATAGTTCAAAAATGATCACCTGGTAAAGTCCAGCATCTGGCACTTCGGGGAGTGGGCACACAGGTATTACATCTTCTATCATGTTAATCAGAGCAGAAGAGCTCTACTAAGCCTTAAGGAAGTGTATTTCTATGCCAGGTCTTACACCTCAAGTATGCAATTTTTTCTTATTTATAAATGAGGACCATGAAAAAAATTGCTGAGTTTCCTAAGTGCCTAAGAATTCCTACCCTTGTATAAATCTGAGCTAACTTAGAAAAATAAGAATGGATCCACTGCCCTCAGTCTTTTACTGTCCTTGCTATGCTCTTTACCCGGCTTAGATTCCATGTTACATCAAAATACTCTCTTATACATATGCTTCTGCATCTTAGATAAAAGCATTACAAAATGCTGCTGTGGTTAAATCCAATTCTTCACCAACTTCATGTCTACCTCCAAGCAGTTAAAAAAAAAAAAAGCCCACCACTATCCCAACAAATCTTCCCTTAAATTCATAACCACTTTATTCAAAGGGACTACAGTGCAAACTGAAATTCCTAGGACGTGTCCATGGCCCACTCTCACTTCTATTTTCCTAGATAAACATTTCATACCTCCTAGCTCTTACCACCTCCTTCCCCATCCCCACTCTCATCTGATGATCTTGCTTCTTATTTCACTGAGAAAATTCAATCAACCAGAAGAGACCTTCGTGTGTCTTACCACATTGACCAGGCCACCAACATCGGGACCCATGTATCCCATCTCCCCTCCTACTTCCATGGATAAACTGTTGCAAGCTACCACCTAAAGCCACTTGTACATCAAATTCTGTCCCATCTTACCTCCTCAAAGATACTGTTCCAGCAATTTTCCCTGCTCCCTCTGGTGTTAGCAATTTCCTCTTTTAATGTATGTCTCATTAGCATACAAACATGATCATTTCTCTCATCTTAAAAAAGAGTACTTCCTGAGTTTATCTCCAAATACTGCCCCGTTTCACTGTATTCCTGTACAATAACTCCCCACCACCACCACCATCAAAGGAGTTTTCTTGGTTCACTTTTTATTCCTCTCATTCTCAATCCAAGTAAGCATTTCCACTCATCAAAACTGTTCATAAGGTTGCTCTTAATCTACATGGTGCTAAGTTCTACTGGAAATGCTCAATCCTCACTTTATGTGGCCAGGCAACATTTGACACAGCTGATCTCCCCATGGTCTTTCAATCCCTTTCTTTACATAGTCTCCAGGGTTTCATACCCCTCTGGTTTTCCTCTGACATCACTGGCCATCCCTTCTCTTTCCCCAACCTGTGAATGTGGCCATACAGTACCCATGAGGCTCAGTCTTTCAGCCTTGTCTACTCTCTATTGCCATCCATATCAGTTTTATGATTCTTAGTCTTACCTATATGCTAATGACTTATAAATTTCTATTTTATATATATTTACATTTCCAACCCAAATTTTTATTTCCAGCCCAGACCTCTCCCCCTGAACCCTAGGTTCAAATGTCCAATTCCCTGCTCAATCATCCCTTGCAAATCAGACACTTCACTTTAATATCTCCAAACCTGATTTTCTGACTGCCCTACAGAACTTGCTCCTCTCATAGTCACCCTTGCCCAGCAACTCTCCAGTACCTCAGGTCAAAATCTGCAGGAGTCACCCTGGATTACTCTCTCATTTCCATAACCCACATCCAGTGCATCAGCAAACCCTTACAACTCCATCTTAAACACATCTCCAGAACTTCTTGCTGCCTCCACAACACTTCCTGAATTACTATCTCTGAACCAGTCACCTTTGCCCTCTTCCAGCCTGTTTTCATGCAGCAAAGTATAGTTTAAATACTAAAGAGCCTTACATCACTGTTCTGTTCAAAATCTCTGACTTCCCAGACTTCCCATCACTGGAGCGCAACTCAAGTCCTGTCAAATCGTGCCCACTGCTAGACCCAAACATCCTCTCCTGGGGCCCTCCCCTCTCTCTGGTCTCCTTTCCTTCTCCTGTCCTCCCCACTTTGTATCTCAGCAAACTGCAGAGCTTTCTCAAACAAGTCAGGTGCCCTCTGGCCTCAGGGCAAGCACACTTGCGTTTTCTCTAGCAAAAACATGGGTTCCACAGACCTCCATATTGTTCACATCTTCAAGGTTTTCCTCAAAAACCACCTTCGCAGGGTGCATCCCTCAGTACCCTCCTAAAAACTGCAAGCTCACTACCCTCAGTCCTCTCAATGCTCCCTCCCCCCTTCCTCTCTTGTTCACCACAGCCCTTGCCACAATCCTACATGCCATAACTTGTATTCATTTAGTTTATTATAGGTCTCCTCTTAACTGGAAGGGAAGCTACATGACGAAGACAATTTTGGTTCCAATGGTCTGGTGCTCCATCCCCAGTACTTGGCAGATGTAAGTACTAACTACATGTTTGTCTAATCAACCAATCAATTAATTGAAATCTGCCTCTAGATCAAAGGTAGGTGAAGATACTAGTGTGTCTAAGCATTTCAGGAACCATGTAATTTTGTGGAATTTCAAACAAGAAGAAAGACAGCATCAACTGCCCCTATCTGTCCTGAGCTGAAGACTCTCAGTTGCAGTATAGAATGGTTACAAGGTCACATTGAGTTTTGAACACAGACTAACCCATAATGAAAGGAAACATGCTGTCAAATACATATACATAGGAAAAAGCAATAAAATCTGAAATAAAGTTATCAAGGCTTACTATATTTTGTGACGATGAAATAGGCTTTATAATTAAGTCAGCTCATAAGGTTTTTATGAATCTCAAGAAAATGTGATTGATGTGTACATATTATAACGTAAAGATATATCAGTGTATATTTTGATATTTCAGTAACGTGCTATCAAATCAAGTTTTAGTGGCAGAATTTAGTAGTTTAAAAAGTGTCAAGTCTTATAACTAGGAACATAAAATTTCTTAAATGTTGCATTTAAATGTAATTTTATGAAGACGACTTCTACAAATGTATTAAATTTGGGATTTAAGATCTACAGACCGTCTTCACAAATGATAATTATCTATTGAACTCAACATGCGATGAATGCCATCATTGAACAGTCTTCACTCTGGCTGAATCTGAAATAATTCAGATCATAAATGTCTACATAATGTTTCTTAAGTTGTGTGTAGTTCCACCTTCAACACTGAAATCTGTACTGTGTGGACAGTTTTTCTGTGAAGACAGTATCACCTGATCCCGCATTAATGCTGCAATGTGTGTTGTTTTGCCTCCAGGTGCTGCACACAAATCTAGAATCTTTTCTCCAGGTTGAGGATCCAGAACATGAGTTACTACAGCAGATGGCAAATTCTATAAAGAAAAAAAAAAAATCAATTGTCAATGATTCTAAACCCTTTTAAAATTCAGAGTCAGAGAACATAAAGAAATCTTTGGAGGTAATCCAGTACAGCATTCTCTGCCAAGAATATGCTTTTTGTAAACAGACTAGTGTCAGGAAATTCAGTTTCCTAGAGTAACCTATGATCTCATAGGGCATTCACACACAAGACACACATGTGCACATGCATGATGCATTTCCCCTATCAGTTTAGCAAAAAAAAGCATATTTTTCCCTCAATTCAGTACCTCTCAATATTTTGAAAAAGCCTTTTTAGAAATATAATAAAACTCTGAATCTTTTTCAAAGAAAATGCACAAAATTTTGCAATGTTTCAGATGCTTCACTACCTAGCACCCATTTAAGAATTCTAGTTTTATGGTACTAATGCCACTCAAAGACATCTGGGTTCCTATCTCCCCACCACTACCATATTTCTGTAGGAGAAAAGTAAAACGTAAACCAATATTACTATTTCTGATTGGCACCTAGAAATATGAGACTGGATAACTCAAATATATTTACAGTAGTAAGTTATACAGCAATAGGGTATACTATACCATTAATTCATTATTAGTCTTGATCACATAAGGACTGCTACTTGATAACAGTTTGCCTTAAAAAAGCGATAGAATGATACCCCAAAGTAATGCATTTATTTTAAAGATTTTATTTTAGAGAAAAAGAGAGCACACAGTGGGGAGAGTGGGAGAGAGAGAGAGGGAGAAGCAGACTCCCTGCTGAGCAGGGAGCCCAACACAGGGCTCAGGGCTTGATCCTAGGATCCCAGGACCCCAGGATCATGACTTGAGCCAAAGGCAGATGCTTAGCTGACTAAGCCACACAGGTGCCCCAGTGATGCATTTTTTAAAGTAATATATTTTAAAATTTACTTGGCAAGAAAAACAATAGAGGCTAACAAGTACAGTTATTTATTTTTAAAGTTTAAAGGTTTTAATTAATTTTCCCACCAGAACACTTACATCCATTAGTACATTCTCAAGAACTGTGAGAAGGTTACAATGCTCTCAAGTGAATCCAAGATTACCATTTGGAAACAGAGCATCAATGGTGAGAAAGGACACATAAATGAACAAGTATCCCCCTCCTTATGGGTATATGAAGCATTAAAATCAGTGCAAATCATTTAGGCCCCTAAAGAACAGTGCCTCCACAATGAACACTAAAAATGAGCTTACCATGTTACACTTATTTTCTCTTAATGGTCTTATTCCAAAAATATTTAAAAATTGAACTCCAATATGAAAACACTGAAATATGTACATGGCTACTGAAGATTTTGTGATTCGCTATCTAAAGACAACTGTTTTTGCTTCACTTCTAATAGTAACATTAACATACTGGCCAAAGATGACAGAAATTTGCAATCAAACATAATACATTAAGAACCTTCTAGTCGGGATCCCTGGGTGGCGCAGCGGTTTGGTGCCTGCCTTTGGCCCAGGGCGCGATCCGGGAGACCCGGGATCGAATCCCACGTCAGGCTCCCGGTGCATGGAGCCTGCTTCTCCCTCTGCCTGTGTCTCTGCCTCTCTCTCTCTCTCTGCATGACTATTGTAAATAAATTAATTAATTAATTAAAAAAAAGAACCTTCTAGTCATGCAACAAATCGAAATTATGAAATAGTCCAAGTGAAGAGGCTTCATTAATTATTGAAATGACAAAGTTTTCTTTGTCATCAAAGTTTTCTAGTTACACAAGAAAATCACCTCGTGGGTTTTAAAAACATGTCTAGTCCTGATCTAGAGTAGTTAAATCAGAATTTCTGGCAATAGGGCCTAGGCGTCAGTATTTTCAAAATCTCCCCAGGTGATTCTAACATGCACCTAGATGTAACCCATAGGTATACTACAGTGATTCTCCATCTCAATTTTAACTGCACATGAGAATTACCTGGGAGAGCTTTCAATCTTCCTGACCAAGGCAACCACCCCAGCCAGACCAACTAAAACCAATTCTGGCGCTAGTGCCCAGACAGTAGTATTTATTTAAATATTTGTTAGATTGTCTAATCTCATCTGGCTCTTAAATCAATTATTTACAAGAAACCAGGCAATGAGAAAATTAAGTTTCAGGCACTATTTTTTATTCTAGTTAAGTTAAAATGTAATTAGAACTGAAAGCAATTCTTACAAGTATTTAATTGTTAAACATTTAAATGACAATTACTTCTAATGTGAAGGACATCTAAGGTTATTTTGTGATTCTACAGACTGTATTTAAGCGATACAGAAGTTTCCTTTTGATCTTGAAAAATCAAATGGTATTACACAATTGTAGCTTTAGTGATTGTACACAACACCCCCATTAAGTCTAAAAAATATATGCTAGTGTAACTTCAGGTGCTAAAATGAAAAATAATCAGTTGTCAGTAGACCTTTACACATATACATGCCGCAGCCAAAAAAAAAAAGAAGAAGAAAAATAGTCTACAATGCAAAGCTTTTTTTTTTTTTTTTAAGCTATTTGAAGCAACAAAGAATACAGAATTAAGTGGGGATAATGGCAAGGCAAGAGGCATCAAAGGAAAAAACAAAACAAAACAAAAATTTCCCCAGGGACTTTTCCAACAGCTATATAATTCCACCTGTAAAGTAACTTCAAAATGTAGAATGGACAAAGGTTACCAGTTGTCCAACTCTTGTGCCTATAAAATATGATTTCTTCAAGGTAAAATTTCTTTAGCCAGTCATCCTATGAACTATCTTAATCTTCATCTTAATCTTCACAAGTTAAATAATTACTGAACCTCATTCAAGAAATGGTAACAGTTGTCAAAGTTGTAAGCCAATGAATGCTTGTGATAATATATTCAAAGCACACAGCACAATACCAAACTAAAAAAAAGGGCAGGGGACTGGCCCAGATTACTGAAGAAGAATCAGTATAATAATATATAACTAGTATATAACTATATATTAGATGATATATCCTATGTGTTATGTTATCACTGATGTGGAATCAAAGAATAAACATCAATCTGTTTTTCTCTTTGTTCACACCAGAAATAATCTTTGGATTTATGTCTTTTTATTTAAAGTACTGGGCAGAGCAGAAAGTGGCATCTCCACTGAGGTCAGATTTCAGACACTATTAATTACTAATTGTATATGACCTCACTCAAGAACCCTAAAGATCTGATAATTGGTATCTTCATCATATATCAGTAATAATAATACCACCTAACCAGTGAACTATAACAAATCAAGTGAATTACTGCACATGGAAATATGCAATAAACTGGACAAGGCAAACAGATTCTTGTATCACAGCAATTGATAACCACCTGACAAAAATGTGTTAGGAGTTGGGAATCCCTGGGTGGCTCAGCTGTTTAGTGCCTGCCTTCAGCCCAGGGAGTGATCCTGGAGTCCCGGGATCGAGTCGCAGATCGGGCTCCCTGCATGGAGCCTGCTTCTCCCTCTGCCTATGTCTCTGCCTCTCTCTCTCTTTCATGAATAAATAAATAAAATCTTAAAATCTGTTAGGAGTAAAACATTTGCATCTTACTCAAGGTCACAAATGAAACATATGTATATCAATGTATGTATTATTTAGAAATTAATATTCTGAGATGGAAAGCAATTACAGTAAACTGTACCAAAGCACTTTTGAGCAACAAAGGGTTAAAAAAAAGTTTAAAATCAGTTGAGAAAAGGAAAAGAAGTCGTACAAAGTTTTGTTTTTGTTTTTTTTATTGCTTAACCAAAGGGAGATCAGAAAAATAAACCACAAAAAATATAACAGGAAAAAAAAAACAGATTTGAAATAACTCACTGAAGTTATGTTTCAATGTCATTAAACATTTTACTCTGACAAATACTTACTTACCTGTAAAAATAAGTAGCGGGGCAGTACGTTGTCAAATGAGGGGCTGAGATATACGGGTTCTGTCATTCGTATGCCTCTACCTCTGAGAAGCAGAAAGATATAACATTAGTCTGTACAAATTCCACTGTCCACACAAACTCCGTTCCTAGGAAGAGGCCCAAGTAGCAGGACAAATATAAGACATTCTGCCTATTAAGACCCCTGTACTCGGGGATCCCTGGGTGGCTCAGTGGTTTGGCGCCTGCCTTTGGCCCAGGGCGCGATCCTGGAGTCCTGGGATCGAATCCCACATCAGGCTCCCAGCATGGAGCCTGCTTCTCCCTCCTCCTGTGTCTCTGCCTCTCTCTCTCTCTCTCTCTCTCTCTCTCTCTCTCTCAAAGTAAATAAATAAATAAATCTTAAAAAAAAAAAAAAGACCCCTGTACTCAACACAACAATCCTTAGGGTATTCCTGTGAATTGCCTAGGACTTATCCCTCACAGAAGGCCATCAGGAAAACTAAAGAGGATAGTTAATTTTTTCATTTAGGCACAGAGGAGTTTCTTCAGAGATTTGAACAAACTGAAAAAGGCAAAGAATAGGAGTCTTTTTTTTTTAACAGAGATACTTGATCAAAAATGTTATTTATGTTGGCATATAATGGGTCTGTTATTTTATTTTTTAATCCCAGTATATAGTGTTATATTAGTTTTAGGTGTACAATATAGTGATTCAACATTTCTAGGTATAACTCAGTGCTTATGAGATTTAAGTGTACTTTTTAAAAAAAGATTAAGAAAAAAAAAAGAAAAGATTTATTTAGAGAGAGTGAGCACATGTGGGCACCAGAGTATGGTGGAGGGAAGGGGTTGTGGAAGGGGAGGGCCTAGTATTGATCAATCCTCCAGATGAGCTTTTCTACCTTTATCCCATGTAGTAAGTGGCAGTGGAAATGATCAGAGCAGGAGAACATAGGAGACGATGATTCACTAGGACAAACACTGCAATCTGAGAGAGGCTGTCAGAGACCATCAAAGGCAAGAAAAAGCACATAAATGCTGCCAGAGAAAGCCAGAGATTAGAGGGGTACAGAAAAAGTACACTCTAATAAAGGCAAGGTTAAGATTATGGATTTAAACTAGATACAGGAGGGATCCTTGGGTGGCTCAGTTGTTGAGCATCTGCCTTTGGTTCAGGTTGTGATCCTGGGGTCCAGGATCGAGTCCCACATTGGTCTCCCTGCGAGCCTGCTTCTCCCTCTGCCTATGTTTCTGCCTTTCTCTCTTTTATGAATAAGTAAATAAAATTTTTAAAAATAAATAAATAAAATAAACTAGATATTGGAGTAAAAGCAAAGAACAAGAGTCTAAGCAGGGAGGAAAAGAACCAAGTCCTCAGTACAGTATGCTGACAAGCTCAGAGCTTCTGAACTAATCTTGGTAGGGATGCATCTATTTGGATGGTGTGCACTCTGCTTGACGTAGGTAGGTGGGCTCACTTTACACAATGCTCCTGACCCCAAATGTGTGGGGTTTTCTCTTGCACCAGCTGGGTGTCCCACACTCCAGTTCAGTTCTGTCACAACCTGCCCAGGGTTATTGTGAGACTCCACAGGCTCAGTGGTCGGATCCAACAAGACCAGTGTCACTCCAGATGCCAACTGGGCATCCTGGGTTGCCAGCTGTAATTCTGACCAACTGGCTGTAAATTTGGGGGTTTCCACACTGCCCTCCTCAGGTTTGAAAACTCACTAGAACTATTCGCAAAATTCCAAACATTTACTAGTACTGGTTTACTATGGAGGATACAATTTAGAAAAGCCAAAGGAAAGAGATGCCCAAGAGAAGGCAAGGGAGAAGTATATGGATCACCACCTTCCCTGTACCTAGATGTGTTCACCAACCTGGAAGCTTTCTGAACCCCACCATCTAGGAGTCATCATGGAGGTTTCATTACATAGGCCCGATTGATTAAATCACTGACCATTAAATATTAACTGAATTTCCAGTCCCTCTCCCCTCCCTGGAAGGCCTAGGGTAGAGCTAAAAGTTCTAACCTTCTGACCACAAGGTCAGTTCCTCTGGCAAGTGCCATCCAGAAGCTATCTAAGGCAGATGCTTAACTGACTGAGTGACCCAGGTGCCCCTAACAAGTTTCTTTTAAAACTGTTTTTTATAAAATGTATCCCCATATAATAACAAAAAGCATGAGATCTCATATGATAGTCTGTTAGTAAATTAATCTACCTCTATGAAGTCTATGACTGAACTCCACTGTAATTCAACAAACCAAAGGGTACAAATTTATTAGTTGAATAACAAAATACCACTAGGAGACATAGTTCTAAAATTTTATAAGAAGAAACACGATATATGTAGCATTTGTTATGGAACCATGCTTTTCCTCATATGGGCAGAGAAAGAAATCCTAACAGCATAAGTGAATGCTAAGTTTAAAAATTCAGTTAAAAAAAATCGTTTTTTGAAAGATGGTTGTCTGCTACTCCCACCAACAAACATTACTCAGAAAAGTCTGTCAGCAAAGTTACTAAAACTACTACATTGAATAATATAAGAGAATGAAGAGTAGAAGAGAGTTATAGATGGCAGAATAATAAGATCCTGAGCTCACCGCCTCCCAGAAACACATTAAATGTTCAGCATTCCTTCTGAAGGGGACCTAGAAACTCAATGAACAGAGCCCACATGAGGGACAGCCCCAAGATGAATTGAAGAGGCAAAGATACAGCCTTGCTAAAGGATTAAACCACACCCCCGGCGCAATGTTCCATAGTCAGAACAGACATCAAAAGAGTATTACCTTCCCAAGGAGAGATTCTAGCTCCACATTCAATAACCCAACCCTTAGATAATGAATGCATGGAGATGAGTTTCCAAAACAGCTGGCCTTAAAAACCAACAGGGAGTATGTCCAGGAAAACTACAAAACTGTAAGGAAGGGAAACCCTATTCATAAAGGGCTTGCACACAGACTCAACCCAGAAACCAGTACAAATGGTTTCAGATCAGATTAAAAAAAAAAAAAAATCACATCCAAAATATCAGAAAAGATCAAAAGCCAGATCAAAAAGCACATAGAGAAAAAAAAAGAGAGAGAGAGAGAGGAAAAAAAAAGCACATAGAACATAGGTGAAGTAGATCTACTTACTAATCTTGGAGCACCTCCTGAAGAGGATGGGTGGGGGCAGGGGTTCTCCTTGAGGAATAAGACACTGGTAGCAGCCATCTTTGCTATATTGTTCTGCCCTGCTGATGGCTGGAACTACCAGACACTATTTTGAAATCCTCCTCCTAGAATGCTAATGGCAGAGTGCATACCCCACTGAGAGCCCCTTATAATCCTGTCCCTCAACAGGGCCTTGCAGTCTACAGGACTCCACCCACCAGCATACTGGTAGCCATCAGGAATAAGGTTCCAGCTAACCCAGCAGAGCAAGGAAGGCAACCTCACCCAAGAATGTACTACAGCTGTCAAGGGGCTTCCATGAGGAAGATACACATAGCCCACTCAGGGAACACCCCTGAAGCACCTGTGTCTGGGTGCCAGAGTGAGAGAATGGCACTTCTGAGCCCTACAGGATATCTCTTACATAGGCCACTCCTTCAAGGCCAGGAAATATAGATGAACTACCTAATACATAGAAAGCACACACACAGAATTAGGCATAATGAGGAGACAGAAGATTATGTTCCAAACAAAAGAATAACACAAAACGTCAGTAAAAGAACTAAATGAAATGGAAATAAACAATCTACCTAATAAAAACTCCAAAGTGATGACCAATAAAACTGCTCATCAAACTTGGGAGAAAAATGGATAAACACAGTGAGAACTTCAACAAAAATAAAATATAAAACATTCCAATCAGAGCTGAAGAATAATAGAAATAAAAATATACTGTAGGGAATAAACAGATTAGTAATACAGAAGAATGGACCAGTGATCTGGAAAACAAGGCAGTAAAACTCACCCAAAATGAACAGGAAAAAGAAAAAAGAAATTTTACAAATGAGGATAGTTTAAAGGACCTGTGATCTAACATTAGGTGCACTAACTTACAGAAGTCCTCAAAGGAAGAGAGAGAGAAAGGGGCAGAAAACTTACTTGAGAAATAATAGATGAAAATCTACCTCACTTGGCAAGGAAATAGACATCCAGATCTAGGAAAAAGAGAATTCCCAAAACAATGAACCCAAAGAGATCCATGCCAAGATCCATTATAATTAAAATGTCAAAAATTAAAAACTTAAAGACAGAATCTTAAAATCAGTAGGAAAACAATTAGTTACATATAAGGGAACCCCCCTTAATGCTATCAGCTGATTCCTCAACACCAACTTTCAGGTCAGAAGGGAGTGAGTGGCACAATACATTCAGAGTGCTTACAATCAAGAATACTCAGCAAGGTTATCGTTCACAATTGAAGAGGAAATAAAGAGTTTCCCCAGAGAAGCAAAAGTTAAAAGAGTTCATCACCACTGAACTAGTTTTGTAATATTTAAGGGACTTCCATAAGCAAAAAGGAAAAGGCCATAACTACAAGTAAAATATATGAAAGAAAAAAATCTCACTGGTAAAGGCAAATATGTAGTAAAGGTAGTGGATCAATCACCTACATAGTCCGAAGGTTAAAAGATAAAAGTGGTAAAATCAACTATATAATAATCAGTTAAGGAATACATAAAAAGATGTAAAATATGATGGAATAAACATAAAATGCTGCAGAGAGGGGAGCAATGTTATGAAATGTGTTCAAACTTAAGCAACCACCAACTTAAAATAGACTGTTATATATACATAGGTCATTATATATGAATCTCATGGTTACCACAAACTGAAAATCTGTAACAGGCATACAAAAAATAAAGAGGAAATAATCCAAGCATAACACATAATGTAATCAAATTCCAAGAGAAAAAACAATTACAAAAAAACAAGCAGAAAACAAATAACAAAACAGCAATAAGTACACATATATCAATAATTACTTTAAATGAAAATGGACTAAATAATCCAAGCAAAACATACAGCATAAATGAATGGATAAAAAATAAGACCCATGTATTTGCTGACAATAAGAGATTCACTTCAGACCCAAAGACAAATAGAGACTGAAGGTACAGGGCTACAAAGAAATATTCCATGCAAGTGAAAACAGAAATAAAGCAGGGGGAACAATGCATATAGGACACAAAACAGAATTTTAAACAAAGCCTGTAACAAGAGACAAAGAAGGGCATTACATAATCATAAAGAGAATCATTAATAAAGTAATAATATCAGAGAAATTTAACATCACACAACAGTGGATAGATCATACAGACATAAAATAATGTAATAACAGTTGTAAACAACACATCAAAACCACATGAACTTGATTGATACATACAGAGCATTCCATCCCCAAACAGCAGAATACACATTTTTCTCAAGTGTACATGTAATATTTTCCTGGACAGATCATGTTAGGCCACAAAACAAATCTCAATAAATTTCACAAGGCTGAAATCATATCAAGTTTTCTTCCTAGCACAACAGTATGAAACCAGAAATCAATTACAAGGAAGTAGAAATCCATCACAAGAAGTGTCCACCAATAATGGAATGGATTAAGAAAATGTGATGTACACACACACACACACACACACACACACACACACAGAGGAATATTACTCAGTCATAAAAAAGAATAAAATCTTGCCATTCATGACAACATGGATGGCCCCAGAGGGTATTATGCTAAGTGAAATAAGCCAAAGACAAATACTGTATGATTTCACTTCTGTGTGTAATCTAAAAAACAAATGAACAAATGAATAAACAAAATAGAGAATCACAGATACAGAGAACTGATGGATACTAGAAATAAGGGGGTAGAGGTAATAAACAAAATAGGTGAAAAGGATAAACTTTCCAGTTATAAATGAGTTACAAGGATTAAATAAATTATAAATAAGATTAAATAAATTATCAACAAAACATGAGTATTAATGTACACCCTAGGGAATATAGTTAATACTATTGTAACAACTTTGTATAACCTCAGATGGTAATGTCTTGTGACCATTTCTTTTTTTTTCTTGTGACCATTCCTTAATGCATATGAATATTGAATCACTGTGTTGTGCACATGAAACACAATATTATATATCAATTATAATTCAGTTAAAAAAATGATGCCAGTCACAAGAATAAGAGGATGAAGAGTTACCAAATAAGATTCTAATAATAGAACCAAAGAAGAAAGTCAAAATATCAATTCTATGTTACAGACCCAAAGATAAACACAACATATATATGCTTTACCCTCATATTCATAAAATCTTCCAAGGAGAATAAAATCTTTACTCTTGGCCATTTGGAAAGTGCTGTTATCTACACTTAGTTAATACAATAATCTGTGTCTTCAGAAGAATTAATTTCAACTATAAACCCAAATTGCTGCAACATGAAAACTGTTCCAGGAAATCAGGAATGTGGTCCAGTTCTACATGGATAAATTCAGTTTTCAACATGTCTACATCAGCTGTCAACTATGGAGTAATGGAGCAGTCTACAGAACTCCTTACACAGGCTGAAATTATGAAGCAAAATGAGACTCTGGATTGTCTACAGATTTAATTTATTTAGAGCCAGTAGCAACCCAAGAAGATTTAGAACTGTTTTTAAATTTGGTTTGAATAAATCCAAATGTTATTTCTTTTTTTTTTTTTCTAAGATTTATTATTTGAGAGAGAGAGATCATGACCTGAACTGAAATCAAGAGTAGGACGCTCAAGGGATCCCTGAGTGGCGTAGCGGTTTGGCGCCTGCCTTTGGCCCAGGGCGCGATCGTGGAGACCCGGGATCGAATCCCATATCGGGCTCCCGGTGTGTGGAGCCTGCTTCTCCCTCTGCCTGTGTCTCTGCCTGTGTCTCTGCCTCTCTCTCTCTCTCTCTCTCTCTCTCTCTCTCTATCATAAATAAATAAATTTTAAAAAAATAAAAAATAAATAAAAAATTAAAAAAAAAAGAGTAGGACGCTCAACCGGCTGAGCTAACCAAACACCTGAGATCCAAATCTTAATTCTTGACCGCAAGTAGCCATGTAATTGCTGGCTTTCTGGTTTAAAAAAAAAAAAAAATTTAATAAAAACTATTCTTAAGTTATATTAAAATCAAACTTTTCCTTTCATAAAATCAGATTGTTTAAACAGTTCTAGATAAATCACATACTTCATCCTTCATCAAGATGAGTACTGTTCTCCAAAACACGCAAAAATTTTCAAATCAATAAAATTCAAAAGGAAAAACTGACACTGACAATTGCAATGTGACTACTTGTTTACCTAGGTGGGCCCTCTAATCTCAGCATTTACTCTTTTACCTAAAAGCAGTTTTTCAAAAAACTATGGAAATATGCATTGAACAATTATCTTCCAGTCGAATTTATACCAAGAAAATTTTATAATGCAACTAGATATATTTTTTACATTGTTTTTTTTTAACTTGAACCACCAAAAAGAATGCAGATTTCCCCCAAACACTTGATAACATACTTCAGTTCAGGTACCCCACTGAAGATTTCTTTGCGGCTTAGTTCAGAAATCCCATTTCCAAGAAATACTTTTGTTCCATCAAATTCTTTGGCTCCTTTCTTACATTTGCCTTTAATATCAGAGTATACGGAAGTAACATCTCCAGCTTTCATAACTAAGAAAGAAGAAAATCAGATTATACTAATTAGGTTATATTTTGGTAGAAGAATAATGAAAATTCTTTAAGCTAGACCAGGACATATAAGGGCATGGATAATGGGCATGAAGAGGTCTAAACTGGGTCATTAACTCTATCCTTATAGAAAATCTGACTTTGGGGATCCCTGGGTGGCGCAGCGGTTTGGCGCCTGCCTTTGGCCCGGGGCGCGATCCTGGAGACCCGGGATCGAATCCCGCGTCGGGCTCCCGGTGCATGGAGCCTGCTTCTCCCTCTGCCTATCTCTCTCTCTCTCTATCATAAATAAATAAAAATTTAAAAAAAAAAAAAAAAAAAAGAAAATCTGACTTTTTACTTTTAAATGTTCCATAATAATATATCTAACTGAAGACTTTTTTTTTCTAGGAAAAAAAAAAAAAACAAGTCTTCAAAAACATTCTATCTAAACTGGAACTCTTTAAGCAGAAAATGAAGGATATCTATTTATTTTTTCCAAACTGAACATTCCCTAAACAACTTCATATAAGTTTTGGTATCTTTGGCTCAATTCTCAAAGTTCCAAGTTTCCTTTAAGAGGATTCATCAAAAATGTATACTAAAGTCCCTCAAAGAAATGTTTCTAAATCCCATTATCCTGTTATTTCTTTGCAGGTTTCCTATTATAGCAATTAAGGCAGAGATTTTCTTTTTTTTTTTAATTTTTATTTATTTATGATAGTCACAGAGAGAGAGAGAGAGAGGCAGAGACACAGGCAGAGGGAGAAGCAGGCTCCATGCACCGGGAGCCCGACGTGGGATTCGATCCCGGGTCTCCAGGATCGCGCCCTGGGCCAAAGGCAGGCGCCAAACCGCTGCGCCACCCAGGGATCCCAAGGCAGAGATTTTCATGATAAGTACATATATTTATTCATCTATATGTATTTGCATGTATGTATACATATATACACACAACTGTATATATACGTATATACTCAGAACACCTTGAAACTACACAGCATACAGCATGGATTCATATGGCTGATTAAGTCTAGGTTTTGTAGTCATTTTGTTAAATTATTTTCAGTAACCAATCCCAGTGACTTTAATAATGGGAAATTATATCCCACTTCCATGGTTTATTTATTTATTCATGAGAGACACAGAGAGAGTGAGAGGCAGAGACACAGGCAGAGGGAGAAGCAGGATCCATGCAGGGAGCCCAATGTGGGACTCGATCCCAGGACTCCAGGATCACACCCTGAGCCGAAGGCAGACACTCAACCACTGAGCCACCCAGGTATCCCCCACTCCCATGTTCTTAGACCTAGCCTGTCATGAATTTGTCTAACCCATTAACTTGATAGCAATAGTGAGTAGTCTATCAACTAGAGCTAGAAGGACTGTTCAAATCACATAGATCAAAGGTCAGTGAACTTTTTCTATAAAAGGCAAGTGAACACCTTAGGCTTTATGAGCCACATAAATTTTCTGGGCATATTCTTCTTTGTATTGTTTTAAAATAATCTTTTAAAAATGGAAAAATCATTTTTAGCTGTGAGCCATGCAAAAACAGCCACAACCTGGACATGGCCAGCGGGCAGGTTAGCACACTCTAGTGTTGGTCAACTCATCTCTTTCACAGATAGCATAACTAAAATCCATAGACTGAATAACTTCCCAGTAGATCAAAACCCATGTGTCTTGATTTCAAACCCAAAAAGCCTGAACCACAGTTATTAAGCATATGTCATCAATTGAGTGAGTAAATTAAGAATATTGGCTTTTATTCCAATATTAAGATCCCAAGTTCTAACGGTTACCTTCACAAATGACAAAAGAAGTCTGAGGGCAATGGAGTTAAGAAACAAAATAAAATTCCATGACATCTTATACTCTATTAATCAATAACGATCCTCTAAACATCATCTCACACACTCTTTTATGGAAAGAAAAAAAAAAACTGGCAAAAAAAAATATATGGATGCTCAATTTGTTAGACCATTATCTGATAAATCTCTTGCTGGCTATCCCTAATGTAAAACTTGGAAAATATCTGACAAAAGTAAATTTGAAATACATCTGAATGGTAGGTTTTTTTTGAATGGCAGTTTAATAAATTTTCCATTTGATAACGTACATAGATTTTAAAGAATCTTTTAGTGTACAGAAAGGCTTAAACATTAGACTTACAGGGGATCCCTGGGTGGCTCAGTGGTTTAGCGCCTGCCTTTGGCCCAGGGCGCGATCCTGGAGTCCCGGGATCGAGTCCCGCATCGGGCTCCCTGCATGGAGCCTGCTTCTCCCTCTGCCTGTGTCTCTGCCTCTCTCTCTCTCTATGTCTATCATGAATAAATAAATAAAATCTTAAAAAAAAAAAAAACATTAGACTTACATTTTGAAGTTGACACAATTCCGGGAACATAGACATGGGCTCCTCTTAGTACTGCATTGCCACACTGTGCTCCAACAATTGCTTCACAACGTTGCCTTTTTATATTCTTCCTAGGGATGTAAGATGAAGAATTTTAAGTGTAATACATCTCTAACCCCTACCAAACTTTTTAATGTTTCAATATAAATCCTAAATAACTTTTTTACTCTTGACTGTCCCAAAATGACACCACTAATGAATAAGTAAGAAAAAGCAAGCTGAAAAAAGGGATAAATATACAGAAAGTAGTTTAAAGAGGGGGATGAGGCACACTAGAGAAAAGATAAAACAGAGGTCCATCTGATGGAAGGCAATAAAGTGGCACCAAAAACAGTTTAATCATTTAAAGAGCACTGCTGTTTCCATAATAGCATCAGAAGGGAAGAAAAATAAAGGCCTTGTCTTCAAAGACTAAAACAGACAACTTATAAGGAATTCAAAAATATTTCTAAAATGGTATATTGCTGCATGGTAAACCATTCACATTTTATATCAAAGATGCCTTTGATTCTTCCTTTACTGTCCAACTTTTTTTAGTGCTTTCCAATTTCTCACCTTCCATTCATTCCTTAGACCACAAACATCTGAGTATCACTTCTAATAGAAAGACTTTTTCAGAAATCAGGGAGTGTCCTATGTGATCAGCCCCAAATAAAGACTTCAAGCGCTCAGTTTCCCATGTGTGTCCGTGGTTGACATCTCACGTGCGCTGTCACAATTCCCTGCTGCAGGAACAAAGTGTGCCCTATCTTCCTTCTGTGATCTCCAGATGGTAAAATCTCACTGAGCTCCTCAGCTTTATGCCACTCTTTTGTCTCTCACATTCTCACTGCTTGTTCCCTGTCTTCTTCTTAAAGAGGTCCATTTCCCCATGTTCCAAACATGCTGTTTCTCTTCTCATTGCATTCTACCCTTGGCAATCTCAGGATTTCAATCATCACTAACAATAATGACCTGTGGGGATCCCTGGGTGGCGCAGCAGTTTAGCGTCTGCCTTTGGCCCAGGGCACGATCCTGGAGACCTGGGATCAAATCCCACCCACGTGTGGCTCCCAGTGCATAGAGCCTGCTTCTCCCTCTGCCTGTGTCTCTGCCTCTCTCTATCTCTGTGACTATCATTAAAAAAAACAAAACAAAACAATAATGACCTGTGTATTCTCACGTTTGGCTCTTCTAGACTCTGAACTGGGATTTGTAATCACCTGCACATAGCTGTATGTTTCTCACAGTTACTTCAAACTCAACAAGTCCTAAACAATGTTACTTTAGCCTGATCCCCCTCATCCTTGGCACATCCCAAATCCTTCATCCTTCTGTTGCCAATCTTGAACTAAGTGTTGTCATCTGCCTCGATAACCAAACTGGAAGTATCAACATCATTTTAAATCCCTTCTTCCAAAAAAAAAATTCTTTAAATAAATAAATAAATAAATAAATAAATAAATAAATAAATAAATAAATAAATAAATAAATAAATAAATTCCTTCTTCCTAAAACCTCAAATTCAACATTTTTGGTGTTACCAAATCATGCCACCTCTAATTCTCTACAGGTCTTCTGGAACCATCCTCCAACACTGGACACATATCAGCTCTTACCTTGATTACTGATACAGCTCCTTGCCTTTTTTACCTTTAACTGTTTTCATATCTTCTTTATGTCTTTGGTACTCTCCAGTTTCATTTTAAAGTAGGCGTGGAACTATTTTTACTTTTGGCTTTAGACTCCTTGTCCTTTGAATTTTTTAAGATTTTATTTATTTTAGAGGGGGTAGAGAAAGGCAGAGGAGAGGTAAAGAGTGAGTCCCAATCAGATTCCATGCTGAGTGTAGAGTGTGATGTGGGTCTTAATCCCACCACCCTGAGATCCCGATCTGAGCTGAAAATAAGAGTTGGACACTCAACAGACTGCACTACCCAGGCACCCCCAGACTCACTGTACTTCTTAAATCTGTCAAGAATTCTGAAAACTTCTAAATCATTACAGTTTTGAATATCGTTTCTCCCATTATTTCTAGTCTCTACATTTGCAACTCACTCAAATTACGAAGTGTCTTTTCATACTATTTTCGATTTGACTCAACTTCACATTTTTAATTCATCAATTTCAGCTGCATTCCAGATAATCTCCTACGAGTCTTCTACTTCAATAAATCTCCATCAGACGGGTCTAATGTACCATTTAACCCACTGAACAGGTTTTTTATTTTAATGATGATATTTTCATTTCTAGACATTTTTTTCAATTCTACTCTTTTCCTCTTAGGATCTTTTATACTTTTGGGATGCTTGGTGGCTCAGTGGTTTAGCGCCTGCCTTCAGCCCAGGGTGTGATCCTGGAGTCCCGGGATCAAGTCCCGTATCAAGCTTCCTGCATGGATCCTGCTTCTCCCTCTGCCTATGTCTCTGTGTGTCTCTCATGAATAAACAAAATCTTAAAAAAAAAAAAAAAGGATCTTTTATACTTTAGATTCTGCTTTGTTTTTAATTATTTTAAGAAAATTGATTTTAAAGTCTCTACCAGAAAGCTCTAATCTGCTAAAGTATGGGGGGGGGGGGGACCTGATCCTTCCATTTGTGGTATATGCTGTTCTCACTTACGATAGTATGAATCCTAATGTAGCTCTTAACCATGAGAATGGCCTGGATTAAGCATGTGCCTCTCTAGGAAGATTTTGCCTGGCTTTCCCCAAACCTCTCAGGAATTGGTTTGAGATCAAATTTTTATATTAATTTCCAAGATTATGGGTTTCATGCTACTTGGGCAGCATGATTTTGAATTCCAAACTTTCACAAGGTAGAGAAACAAAGCTCCACATTCACAGATTTGTTGTCTTCAACATAGACTCTAAGTAAGAAAGATCCAGGGGCACCTGGGTGGCTCAGTCAGTTAAGCAGGTGCCTTCACCTTGGGTCATGATCTCGGGGAACTGGGATGGAGCCCCGTGTCAGGCTCCTTGCTCATCAGGGAGTCTGCTTCTCCCCCTCCCTGTGCTTACCCGCACTTGTGCATGCTCACTCTCTCAAATAAATAAATAAAATTTAAAAAGACAAGAGAGATCCAACTCTTTAATTATTGCCTTGTGCTGACTGCTAGGTGATATTTCTCACCTCCTGCTGTTCACACCCTGTTATTAGAAGGAAAGCCCCTACATTTAGGAGACCAACCACCTCTTCTCCCACATCTTCCAACCCCCAAAATTTAGCTCACGTGTGTACTGTTGTTTTAAGTTATTCTCCATTCTAACCCCTGAATATCTCACTTACATTCTCAATCACTCAGTTGTGCATTTTATGGCCTTTTTTTTTTATTTAGTATTTCTAGGTGTATATGACAGAAACAATTTCAGATTATCTAGGTTACCATATTGTTGGAAATAAAACACTTTGAAATGGCTTCCTAATTTGTTTCCAGTCTTATAATTATCTTCTTCTAAATTTTTTTTCAAACTTTTTTGATTGTAACCCAGTTAGAAATGCACTTAGTATTACAACTCGGTACACTTGTATGTATATGTGTATACACACATTTATACATACATATTTATATCAAATGTTTCATGAACACCTTCAGTATGGGCAGTGCAATATCATACATTATGAAATACCCTATTTCTTTCTAAAATGTTAAGAAAAAAACATTGAATCGATTTTGCAACATACTAATGGATCACGATCTCCATGCAGTTTGAAAAACAGCTTTATGCTTACTAGTATTGTCTCCTATGCTCTTAGCAAAAAAACTAAACATTTCTTAGTTAAAAGAAAAAAATCTTTTACACTTCACAGCTGGCCTTCCAATTTCTTCAACCTTCCTCATCTTTCACTACCCTCTCTGAAAAAGCAACTAAGTAGCCAAACCTGATCACTTTGTCATGAAGCACATTTTCTTGCCTCCATACTTTTGCTTTCTCTCCACCTCACTCTTAATCATCTTACCTCATCAGCCTAATGCCTACTCACCTTCAAGTTTCAACTGAAATAATAACTACTTGAAGAAAATCCTTACCAACTTCCTTTCACGCAGTACCTCTTATTGTGTGCTCTGATGGTACTTCATTCATACTTTCACTGTAGCACTTTTGAGTCTGAGTCAGACCAAAGTTTCCCATTTTTAAACGAACCAACTGCATTTCATTCATCTTTGTAACACCCTTAGGTCTTACACATAACACCAATTCAAAAAAATTTCTTGGGAAATGGAACCTTATAATTTTAATCAGGATGTTTTTATGGGAATAACCATTTTATGAAGAGGACAGAAAGACAGACTATAGAAAAAAAGAGTTAGGGATCCCTGGGTGGCGCAGCGGTTTGGCGCCTGCCTTTGGCCCAGGGCGGGATCCTGGAGACCCGGGATCGAATCCCACGTCGGGCTCCCGATGCATGGAGCCTGCTTCTCCCTCTGCCTATGTCTCTGCCTCTCTGTCTCTGTGACTATCATAAATTAAAATAAAAATTAAAATTTAAAAAAAAAGAGTTAATATAGCAGTCCTGAATTACTATCCTTTCCTTGGATAGCATGGTTACAAGGCTGGCCCTTGGGTGCCATCTGGGAACTTAGATTTCAGGAGGATACCTACTATTAACTGATAAGAATAGCTCACTCTGCCTAAATCATCTGTGCAAATAATACAGTTTATGGTCAACAATGACTTTCCTTCTGAGAAGCCAGAAAGTAGGCATGTGCCAGGCAGGGAGTGCCTACACGACCAGATCCAAATAAAAATCCTGGACACTGAGCCACTAATGAATTTCCCTGGCTAGCAACATCTTACATGTTGTCAAACCTGTTCCTGAAGGAATTGTTTCCTCTGTGACCCCAGTGGAAGAGAATTCTTTTAAGTTTTCAACTGGTTTTCCCTGTACTTTTTCCCATGTACCCCCTCCCTTTGCTGATTCAGCTTTAGATCACTTCACTGTAATAAATCATAATCACAAGTACTACTATATGCTGAATTCTTTGAGTCATCCTAGCATTCAGCATAAAGTGATGACTCTCTCTGAGTCACCCTGGAGAGTCCTCAAGTCAGGGAGTGGTCCTGGGGATCCCTCAACACTAGGACCAATTG